ACAGAAGTGTTAACAGCCCCCGCTCTGTCAGCTCTTGAGGTCCAAGAGGCTTGGTGGCTGCTGGCTCTGGAGATGGCGCAGCTGCTGCTCTGCTGCCGGGCTGAGCATGTGGCCAAAGGGTCAAGTGCCCTCTTGGGGAGAGATTTTTGTGTCACTACCCCAAAGGATGGCATTAAAATATGCCTTAGCTGAGGTGTTTGTGGCCTTCTATCATCATACAAAAATCGCCCTTGAGGGCCAGGTTCTGCTAGCCTTCTTGACTGAGGGTTTTATATTTTGGTTTTGGAATGTTCCTACCTACTTGAAAACAGCCACTAATGGGGAAGGTGGTGCTATTCTTTGTCAAACACACTTGCAGAAGCTGCCCTGATGTTTTTGAGGCAGAAGTCCGCGCTAAATTCATAGTTACTTCATCACTGGGAGTGAGGTCCTGGCAGATCTTGTGATGAACCATCCTCTTCTGGATGTTTCCAGGGAGCGTACTGGTAATTCTAATGACCTGTGCAAGATACCAATTTATCTATTTATTACCTCATTCAAAGTATGTCCTTCCTACGGAGTATATGTCATTAAGCATCTAGTGGCCTGCTTATCTGAAGCACTTCAGTTATCACCACAGGCATCCAATAAGCAGCAAATGGGTACGGGTGAAACGCTATGGATTCACACATCTCGTGCCTGCCCTTTGGCTAGTTAGTTCCTCAAGGGAATGGTTTTAAACTGCTGTACGTTATTTTCCTGGATATACATATTTTTCTTTGTTCTTATATAAATTAGAAATAAATTTCTTAATTCTCTCCATCCTGTAAGCTGTCCTGAAAAAGAATATAGTAAATGAATAATTAATTACTTAAAATATAAGGTTATCCTGCTGGAATAGGTGATAGAAGTAGCTGACTGCATGTAAGACCAACCTACTTATTTGAACCAGTCTTTATTTTTATTTTTTTTATTTTTAAATGTTCATGGAATGAAATCAGCTTTTGCTGCTTAGGCCATGGATCATGACTTCCAACACAATCACAACAGTACACTAGTGGCCTTTTGCCAAATTTTCCTTCCAGTGGCAATCATAGAAAAGTTGGAAATGTGACTGGGATTGTAAACACAATGCTGCAGTGTTGTGTGTATGTACATACGCATATTTTTTATTTTTTTTGTAGGCTAAAAAAAAAGTCCAGAGACAATTTTTTGGCAGCTTATCTGTTGAAGTAGTACCTTTTCCTAAGATTTTTATGCTTCACTGTCCAGAAGATCATTAAATCAGTTTTTCTCTGAGCAGCTTTTGAAAGTTGCTCTGAAAGTTATTCTAGTGCTTCTTATTTATCAGCAAGGCGTGTAAAAATCAACAGACCTGATTAATGTGTATTTCAGCTTACAAAATCAATTTTTGAACACGGAAGAATGAATGTATATTTCACAATCTTTACTCATCAACTAGCATATTCTTAATTTAGGTTAAGATTTTCAGCAATCTCCATGAAAGATATGTGATCAAATCCTGCCTGATTCAATACTACTGAACAAGTATAAGCCCTCCAGGCTCTTTTGAGAATACAGAGCGGATTTCTATTATCAAATATTTGCCTTATGTAAAAGCTGAATGGAACAAAAGGGCTAACTGCATAATGTATCTGCCAGGAATGCTGCTATTCTTGAATTTGTGCAGAATGCTACATAATTTTAACAAAAATGTGTGACAATGATTGCATTATTTGCCTGGAACATGGGAATGTTGAGCTAACTATTGAATGTATGATATTTTAGTAAAATATTTTGTTATCATAGTTTTGTGTGTTCCCTTATTTTTTCAGTTGTGGATGTAATAACATTTTGGGACTTTTAGTTGAGTAAAAGGAGCTTTATTCTTTTTACAGTTAAAATGAATAATCTTCTCTTCTTCTCTGAAATGCTTTAGCACACACATTCTAAAATAAGAGTGCTCATTTCCTCTTCCTTAAGCATATACACAATTTCCATGAAAGACAAAGTGATCAAGAACTGGAACACTTTCTCAAACATGAAGTGTGCCCTCCTGCTACACTAGCCCGTGCTGTCATTAATGGTCCAGCACTCCCTTAAATCAAAGGCGTCACAAAGTAAGGTAGGACAAAACTTTTTAAAAACAAATGAATGGATAAAAACAGGGCAGCTTTAATGACAATTTACATGTTTGGAAGATCAAGATCCCAAAATGACGCAGATCTCAGACATGAAGTAGTCTGCTTGTGTCACAACAGCCAGCACTGGTTGAGCGTCGTCGTTTTGCTGGGCTGGAAGCACCGCGCTGCTCCTCGCCCCCAGAAGGGAAACGCCAAATAAAAAGAGATGCTCAGATTGTTTGCCAAAGATGAGCAGAGATGAATCAACAACTGTCACTAGAAACCTCTCTCTTCCTACTTTTGTTTCATCTTTTTTTCCTTGCTTACTCTTCCGGCATATTTTGCTTATTCATTTGCTGCTTCTGGAATATTCATTCCACAAATCCATTGTCAAAATTACCTGCAAATAGTAGTGCACTGGAAGAAGGAAAGGATCAGAGTCATAAGACCTAGATACATGCATGACACAGGAGAGTTAATGTGAAAGAATGGACGTGAGTTTTGCATATATTCTGGTTGAGCAAGCAGAGATTCTTTTCAAATCCTAATATTACTGCGCTATTAAGGCTGTGCTTTCAAAAGGTTTCTGAAGCACATGTCAAATAAAGAATGGAATTGAGGAGTTTTGGTGGCTCAGAAATAGCCTTGTTATTGCCTTACATTTCATGGATTTGAAAATGTATTTTGGAGGCGAGGGGGAGGATATCTTAGTCCCTTCCTATAATCTCTCTAA